CACGGTCCCTCCCCTCCCCTGCTCCCAGCAGACCCCATCTCTGCAGCCCCTCAGCCGCGGGCACCGCCCGATGGGACAGCGATGGTGGGATGGAGCCGCAGGGCTCATGCCCGCAGTGGGTACCACGGACACAGTCAGGCCGTGGAAGGGGGGGTTCACCCCACGCGGACAGAGTGCCGCGCTGCTTTGGCGTAGCCTCCCCCCCACGTTACCGTGCATGTAGTCCGAGAGCAGGAAGGGGTCCGAGGTGTCGGGGCCCACCTCCTCCAGCAGCTGCCTGGGCACTGCAAGGAGAGCACACGCTGAGCATCACCACCGTGCCCATTCCCAGCAGCCCCCTGCCCCCCAGAGACCCCTGCACCCTCGCCTGCACGGCACAGAGCAGGCGCAGCCGGTGTCCCCGTGTCCCCAGCCGGTGTCCCCATGTCCCCAGCCCCGCAGGTGGCTCTCACCGCAGGTGTAGGAGACCCGCAGCTGTTTCTTCGTGCCGGGGAGGCAGGGGTCCCCGAAGGTGGCCTGGTCAGCAGCCACGGTGCAGTTCCCCTTGCGGTGGCACTTCTTGGAGACCCTCCGCAGGGCGTCCAGAGCCAAGCACTCTGCAAAGACACGGGGCACAGACCCATGGGCAGACCCATCTGCCGCTGCCGCCTGGGCACCACCCGCTGGGGGCCAGGGGCACGGGTACAGCCTGGCAGATGCTTGTGCCGTGCTCTCTGCACGGCTCCTGGCCCTGTTTCTGGCTCGATTGTTCTGGCATACCTATATGGGGTCCTCCAGCGTTCGGGGCATCGCACTCCGGTTTGCCCCGCAGGAGTCGTCCGTAGTTTGCAGAATAAATGGCCAGGATGGAGTTTGGTCGGCACTGCAGCCTCAGCTTGTCGTTCTCGCACACAGTCTTGACCCGATGGTTCCCTGGGGAGTGACACGGCAGAGGGTCCCAACGTATCTGGGATCACCTGCAGCCCCCTCCTCCCTCAGCCCAGCCGGGGGTTTGAGAGCTGCCAGGGGCAGGGCTGCAGGAGGGCTGGGAGATGCAGGAGCAGCTCAGCTCCCCTCTCTGCCCCTTCCCGAGCAGCCTAGGCCAGGGAAGAGCCCACGCCGCCTTGCCCAGACCCCACCCCACCTCACCTGGGCGGCACTTGTAGGAAGCGATGAGGTACTTGTGTGTCCCAGGGCAGGGGTCCAGCCCAAAGACTTGGCTGTGCACCGAGAACTGGCACCACTGCTGGTCCTGACACTCGGCCAGCAGCTTCTGGAGAGGAAAGCGGGACCGACATTAGGATGGGCACCTAGGGTGGAGGTAGTTAGTGT